ATTTTCTTGACTAATTTCAAGGTGCAACTATCTTTAGGAAATTGGACCTTCATAGTGGCTATTGGCAAATACCTATTGCAAAAGAGGATATAAAAAAGACAGCATTTTGTACATGTTATGGATATATTGAATAGCTTGTGTTTATTATTTGGTCTCATCAATGCTTCAACATCCTTCAAGGGTCAGATGAATAGACTATTTTATGATCTTTTGAACAAGTATGTAGTTATTTTCATTGATAATATTGTAGTCTATAGTAAAATCTCTAAAGAGCATGAACAACATCTATGAAAAGTACAATGTTGACTACAAGATAGTTGCTTCTATTGCAAGAAATCAAAGTATGAAATTTGGAAGTTAGAGGTCACTTTTTTAGGGCATGTAGTGTCTTTCAAAGACATGCATACGGAGCAAGATAAGGTGAAAGTTGTAGAAGATTGGCCAACCTCTAAAGATGCTTCTGAAGTCTATTCATTCTTAAGCCTTGTTGGATATTATCGTTGTTTTGTTTGGCAATTTATACACATTGTTGCCTCATTGACAAGCCTATTAAGGAAGAGTGTTTCATTTGAATGGAATTTGTAGCAACAAAGCACCTTTGATAGGTTGAAGGAGGCACTCATTACTGCTCCAATATTACAACTATATGATCTCAACCTTCTTTGTACACTTAACATTAATACTTTTGACTTTCCTATTAGAGTGATCCTTCAACAAAAATTTGATAAGGGTCTTCAATCTGTGGCATATAAATCACGTAAGCTCAAAAGGACAGAACACAATTATTTTATATATGATCGAGAGCAATTAATAATTTTACATGCTACAAAAATATGGCAACATTATCTATTAGAGAAGCCAATGATTGTTTGGACTGATTATTGATCCTTCCTATATGATTTGTATCTAAAAATATGAAATCACGACATTATTATTGAAAGAAATAGTTACAACTTTTTAATATTCAGCTTGAGTATAAACAAGGGCGACAACATATTGTGCTAGAAAACTTATCACGCAAATCAAACTTAAAGGTTGAATTAAGAACAAGAAAAAAGTTTCTACCATTAATAGTGTCATTTCAAGCCTAACTAAAGAGGCAAAATAGAAGGAAGCAATACATTGAGATGTTTATTTCAAGATGGTTAGTGATTGAGTAAGGTTGGGCAGTGTACAATATTAAGATTACAATCTTAGTGATGGCTTATTTTATTTCAAAAAATAGATTTATATACTTAATAATGCTATACTCTAAACACTTATACTTTAGAAAAGACACAACATTCCAATATTTGAACATCTAAGGCATGAAAAAACTCTAAAATAAATCTCAAGGATATGGTTTTGGATAGATTTAGACCATGATGTTTAAGCTTTTATACGCTCTTGCAAGTCATATCAATATAATAAAGCATGCAAGACAACATCTACAATACTATCTACAATACTTTGGAATAGTATTATATCCGGATAACCATTGGCAATATAAGACTATACAATACTATCTACAATACTTTGGAATAGTATTATATGTGGATAACCATTGGCAATATAAGACTATACAATACTATCTACAATACTTTGGAATAGTATTATATGTCAATAACCATTGGCAATATAAGACTGTACAATACTATCTACAATATTATCTACAATACTATCTATAATTGTATGCGGATAACCATTAACAACATAAGACCTTCCGAGAAGGTGATCAAGTATTATTCTTCAATGCCAACTTTCCACTTGCTTTATCAATCCAAGTCCGTAAGTTGGCAACTCGGTGCTTTGAAATTTTTTATATTTTTGTACTAATTTTTGATATTGCATACTGCCTCGAGCTTCTGCTACATATTTAGGTCTATTCGGTCTTTTATATTTCATAGATTAAGAAATTTCATACTAGACTAAGATGCTTCCCGGATTGACACCAATCACCACCAATATTAGTTGTGATTAATGACCAATAAGAGTATGAAATAGATAGCATTTTAGAGTATCACTATCTTTGTCGTGGTAATAAACGTTTGCAACTTCAATACAAGATCCTTTGAAAAGAGTATTCTATCCACAATACAACATGGAAACTTATACAGAACCTCATTTATTATCAAGAAACAATCTAGAAGTACCATAGAGAGTAAAACAAGGAGGTTTTGCATTAATAGAGGGGGATTAATTGTAACAAGGCATGGATAAGATAATTGTATTATTGATACGTAGAAATAGGTAATTAGGGCCATTTTTGGGAAGTTTTTAGAAGTTTTTAAAATTGGGGCCAAATTGGTGGTTCATACGGAGTCCACCATGGAACATCCTAGAAGAATTAAGGATAACTATTTAGATAGGATCCACCTCTAGAAACTTCTAAAAGGAGGGTTATTTTGGTGGAATCCACCATTTAAGATATTCTAAAAAGTTCCAAGATAGTTGGACAAAATATAAATAGGATTAGTTGAGGCCATTAGCCTTAATATCCATGTTCTTCCAAAAATATTATTTTTTCTATTGATATAAAAAAATAAAAATAATAATAAATAAATAAACTTCTTTTTAATTTTAAAAGACAACAATTATTTATGAAGGCTACCCACTCAACAAATTTTAAAAGATAACAAACATAATGAACTATTAATAATATATATATATATATATATATATATATATAGATAGATTCTTAAACTTTAATAATTATTCATGCAATTTCATATAACTCCATCTTAAAATACTTCTTTTAAATTTGTTGGAATTATTTATCTAAATGATAGTGGAAATAAAAATATTACTATTAGTATAGTATTTCTTATAAAAATAGTTAAATTTATAGATATAGTTTTTAAAAAATATCAAAATTAATATTATTAATTGATTTATTTTGATAATGAATCTTCAAATAACTTTATATTTTATTAATACATTTTATGTTTTTAATTATAAAAAAAATTACTAAAAGCTATTTTTATTAAAAGATAAAAATCATTCAAAGAATACATATATATATATATATATATATATATATATGTTTAGAAATATTCTCTAACCTTTATAAAACAAGCATAAGAGCTTTCCTAAATTTCAAATCTTCAATCTAATACTCTTTCATTTTTTAATTTGATCACATTTAATAATATAGTTATTCAAATATTTACTATTTGTGACAACTTCCTACATTTATTAATTATGTCATGGTTCATTTTGGTATACTAAGTATTTCTTCTTATTTATATTTTTTTATTAATAATTGGCATCCAAGATATTTGTAAGTGAATACACTTACTTCATTGGTTTATAGTTAAACAAAAATAATTAGTAATGAGATTCTAGCCATAGTTAAATCATCCTAAAAATATTTGTTTTTTTTATATGTTTTTGGCAATCTTCCTTCTTGTCTTCAGACATTAAAAGAGACCATGGATACATACATATATATATATATATATATATATATAGAAACACACATATATTTATTGAACTTGATGTATTGCTGGTCTAGTATATTTCAACTTATTCATTTAAATATGTTTTTTATTTATACTTTAAATAAAACAAAAAGAATACTACATTATTACATAAATTTTTATGTTTATTAATAAAATATAGTTTTTCTTTATTCTGCATAATTTATAAGTTGATAAAGCTTTGGCATTCTCAACTATGTCATGTCATGTTGTTTTCTTAGACATTGTTAGCTACTAATAATCTACAATAATTTATGTCATCTTTCAAATAAGATTTTAATTCTTTGTTTTTGATGTACTAAATTCATGTAGATACAAACCATATTTTTCGTATTTTTTTAGAAAACCACCAGGAAGACACCTCTTTTTACTGCGTGGACATCCCTCATGCCATGCACCCTTGCACACACACGATAAAACTCTTGTTCACGTTAAACAGTCTTAGGATAAATTTACAATAAAAGATTTGTAATGGTTTTTATTCTTAATTCTTTTTTTCTTTTTTGATTAAATTTTTTTAAAAATCATAATACATTTCATGTAATTATTTCATTCACTTTAAAAATATAATTAATTTTATTTTAAATTATTATATTGTAAATTTACTCTTGAAAGTTTTAGTATAAATAAAAGTTTAATGTGTGCATGTAGAGGTGTGTAGCACAGGAATGTCCACAATGTGAAAGGAGGATATCTATGCAATAAAAAAGAGATGTCTACCCAGAGGTTCCCTTTTTTACTCAAAAACAACAAGTATTAAATATTACTTTTTAATGATATTGGTCTTATTAATATCATAGGTACTTCTTTCATATTAACTTTAAAGAGTGGTTTATTAAAAAAATTAATATTATCAGTATTTGAAGGATATATTTACACACATATATATTTCATAATTCAGTATAAAAGTAAATACATTACCTTAATAGTACAAAGCTATTACCGTATGAAACTAATTGCTTAAAAATTTAAATTATTTTTCTTGCTTAATAAATCTTTAAATCTTACTTTTAATTTAACAGAATACACAGATGAATTTTTTTCTAATTTTTTTATAATATTTTAAAAGTTGTAGCATAATATACCTTATTACTTCATTAAAATCTTCTTAAAACAATTGATATTTGTTGCAATAATATATAAATTCTATATATATATATATATATATACATATTTATTTATTATTGCATGAACAAAATAATGTACATGTTGTCAATGTAAATAAAATTTTAAAATATGTGTATTATATCACAAACTTTGAGGCATTTTATTAATCATTTAAATTACAATTTAATATTTAACATAATACATTGGGTTCAAAACAATGAATGAAGTGAGCACACCAATGAGCATCTGATTTTCATGTGTGTGTATGTTTTTTCTTTTCAAAATAAATCTACACCCACAGCCTAGGATATATTACCTAGAATGTACTAACATGTTCATTAATAACACATTGATAAAAATAAAAATAAAAAGAATAAAAACATTATTTTTGAGAAGTTAAATTTTCGTCTGAGAATGCAATTTCAATGCTTCGTCTTTCACGCAACAGTTCAACATACTCTTTTTTCCATTTTATTTATTAAAAAAAAAAACTGAACTAAACTAAACTACCCGCATCACATCATGAACCTCATGCAACCAGAGATTCATGTTTGCATTCAACTTTGCTCCTCACACCGATACACTCGACAGACCTCTCTCACGTCTGAGTGTGTAACATAAAATGCATGGCACATTCACGTTGTGCGTTTGCACTCATCTACTGAGGAAATACTATCTCACCGCATTGATGCAATGCAATTGATTAGTTGGTCTTCCGTTATCGAGATCGGTCATGTGCCGAACAACAGTCTTAGGCAATATGCCAGTTCTCTTCAATGTCATCAAGATTTTGGCAACTGAGGCATAACATCATCCCAATAATTTGACTGCGTCGCAGCTCCTGGAGAAAATTTCCTGGAGAAATTCCCTAGTATACCTTATTGATGTCACCTGCCGCTCGTCTACTCCACGGAGAGAAATCTTCAAATGCGGATTCTTCCTCATCATCGGAATAGTCGTCAAAGGCTTCATCATCATCATCGACGTCGTCGTCCGAGTCGAAGAATTCCTCCTCGGAAAAGGTTGAGATTCTTAATCTCGATCGCACCGTCGTGAACTCAGAATCCTCCTGCTCGGAAGACAAGTAAGAATCATCCTCAAGCTCCCTAATTAACGCAGCCTTGTTGGTCCATTCTTTATGCGCTTCTGCGGCTGCCAATTGCGCTCTTCCAGATGCTACTTCATCCCACGAGAATGAGATGTCCGCATGCTTGCTTAATACCATTAGGTCACCTATCACAATTGTTTGCAAATTCCGTCTGCTAGCGAACCTCAGGATATCGACGAAGTCAGAGTCGTCTGATATTAATATTAGGGTTTCTAGTCCCCTGCGCATATGGTGCGACGAAAATGCATCAATGTCCAGAAAAAAAAGAACAATGACAAAAAAAACTCCACAACGCTTTAATCATAGTGATTATGCCCCAGGTTGTGATACGACACAGCGAAGACGAATTTTTTCTGGAGAAGCAAACTTGCTGCTTCCAAGTGCACTTGCTAACTACTATTACTGATGACTACAGAAAACTTGGACGCAGGATCTAAAGCCTGAGGGACAAAGGTAAACGCTTACTTGTTAATGTAATCAGTCATGTGCTTGATGAGAGCTTCATCTGCTGCTTGAGGCTTGTCCTCCACAGTTCTCACATAAACACCCGCCCTTTTAAGTTCGGTCGCTAAGCCGTAACCTTTCTTGGGCACGAGGAGCTGCGTAGCGATAGCCTGGTATTTGTCTTCTTTCTCAGCCAGCTTTGCCTTGAATTTCTGCCGCCTCTTCCCTTTCAGAGTCTTCAAGTGGTTCATTCTTTTGGTGCGTTCTTTCTCATGCAGCTGCTTGAAATGCTTTAGCAACTTCAAATACGTTTGGCATTTCCGACCGCAAAATTGACAAATATAGGGCTCTTCCGGCTTCACGGCGCCTTGCTCTTCCAACACGCTAAGTCTTTTTCTCTCCTGTCTCTCATCTCGGATCCACTGCGGCACGTATGTGAATGCGTGGTGATTCGCGTATGCAACCATGTCCACCACGAGTCCAAACTCGCTGGCTAGGTCCCTGAGGCTAATGGCCGCCTTGTAAGGCGCTACGCCCTTAGGCGGCTTGTTATCTAAATCCCAAAACACTCCGACAGTTCTTCTAATCTCTTCTTCTGCTGCTTCTTCGATTAAGTCTGCATCAGTGTCCTCACTTTGATTGCTTTCCTCAACGACAGAAGGATTATATACACTAAAGATACGGGAATTCCGCCTAGCACTTATCCTTTTCGTCAAGTCTAATTTCTGCCCCAAATCTAGAGGTCGCCCAATGAACATAAACGACAAGCTTATTCTTCTTCCAGTACAAATCTCAGACAATGAACTGCCAGCAGCAAGATTTCCTGCGCAACTTACAAGATTGGAATTACAGAGAGTAGCCATAGCTCCTCGCTGTCCGGCTTATACAGCAATTCGCAACATGAATCAAATTTAGAGCATAAGCCCCAGTCCAATGCCTCAGCTTTTCATTCTGAAATTCCCCTTCGAAAGAGCGAAATAAAATCACTTGTCTTGTAACCCACAAATTCCCATGATTGCCTATGGCAGAACCACTCACTGAACCAGGTGATTCGCAGCCATTTGCAAATGAGTATCTAACTAAACTAGCCCAGAAAGCGACACACAATTTGCTGCATCCATTCCAAGTCCACAGAAATGCCGGAAGGTTCTATCACGCTGGCGAAGCGGGAGTCTAAGGCCCGTAATCTCAAAACGTATCCTCATGCCTTATCCTCCTACACGAAGTCTCAAAAACCCTCGAAATAAAAATGCGAAAAAGACGAAAGCAAGGTTCGGAGAGGAGCAATCCTGTCGATGCTCGTCAATCGAGAATAAAAAAACTTGGTGAACGCTTCGCTAAACCCCACTCTCGCGAGTGAGGGATCGACCTCAACACGCACAGTCACACTATCCTTTTCATGGAGCGCATTCTAGAGCAGCCGAAAAGACAAAAGCGAAGTTCCCAACTGAGAACGCATGGGGCATGTGCCGCGCTGATGCAGCTGGTGATGACCTAATTTCCAGTCAAGAGAAGTCATCTAAAAATGGCACGCTTGAACAGAAATATTATATTACTACATATGGTAGAATTTTCATGTACAAGAAGATGGAGAGTGTAGTTTGCGGAGTTACACGAAACAAAAATATTTTAAGGTTTGGCACAGTTTTGGTCGTGCCTACTAGATTCTTATTATAGAAATTTCGTTTGTTAGCTTAGCTTTTGTTTGGTGAGGATTTAGTTGCATTTTATGTAATATTTAGAAATTAATAAATAAATAAATAAGTGGTTTGTGAAATTTTTTAGTATTTTTCATAGTAGTAGAATTATGAATTTCATAAGGTTAAAGGAATGTTGAGAATCAGAAGGAAGAAAGAGCTCATAACCAACATACAAATTCTACAAGCATTAATATAAATTTCTAAAAAGAGATGATGGAGGCATTAAATGAATGATACCAAGTATAGATTGGTTGTCTGAACAAGAATAATGCTATAGAAGAATTTGTAAATTAGATATAATAGGAGCTACATAGGATTTCTAACAAGAACACAATTTTGTAAAATTACTATAAATATATGCTTATCTTTACAAAACTAAAATTATTATTATAAAAATTGTAAGGATTAAATTATTCTCTAAAAATATTACATATATATATATTGATTGTATTGTATCTAGATTTGAAGTTTTTATTATCTCAAGTTCCTTTATGGTAAAAGAACTTAGGATCTTGGAACTTGGAACTTTGTTCTCACTTAGAGTGAGTTTCTTTCTTTTAGAAGCAATCTTAAAATATTTTAGAAATCCAAATCGAGTGAGGACATGAGGGGTATATATCTTTATTCCAATATAATAACAAAAAAAAAAAAATACAAATTTAGATAAATTTGTTAAATTCTACAAATTGTTTTTTAAAAAATTAAGCATTGTAAACAATTTAAATTTTTTTATGATGTAAAAATAAGATAAAAGCACCTCATGCAACTATCTATAAGAATCCACAAAATAGACTAGCCCTACATAGTTCAAAACAAGTCCAAAGTTAGTTGGCAAAATTTGAATATTAAAAAGAATACAAGCATAAAATTCAATCTTGTACAAATTATAAATTTTAAAATAAAAAATGCACAAAAGTCTTCGTTAGAATTTTTAAATTTTTAATACTATATTTAAACTATAGCTTAATTTTTTAAATTATATTTTTTTATTTTTAAATATTATAATGGATATAATATCAATGTGAATGATCAGCCTGCAATAAAAGAATCATAACAAACTATATCACTATTTAAGAAATATAAAGAAATATAAAAAATCTATAGAAAATTTATTGTAAAAATTATCTCTAAAAATATTTAACTGAATAAACACTTGTCATATTATAGTCTTTAATATATATATACATATATATATATATTTATATTTAAATCATAAAATTTATAATAAAGAAAATAAATTAGTATAAACAATAAAAGTAAAGAAGATTATTTTTCTATGGTCAAAAACATATTAGCTAAAGGAAAAATCTTGAAAAATGTCATTAGATTTTAAATTATTTTTAATTATAAGGTTAAAAAATAAAAATAAAAATCTTTTAGTATCATGAAGAAAACTAATTGTTATAATTACCTAGATAAGAAGTTTAAAATAGAAATAAATAAAATAAGTAAATTTGATAATATCTTGTGGAAAAGCTTCATAGATGCAAATTTGATTTTATATGTATTTGTAGGTAATTAATAGGTTGAAAACTTGGCCAATAAGTTTGTCACATATTGCACTGTTGTTGACTTGTAGTAAAAATTGGTCATGTGGCTCACATGTAGAAAACTTGTCTTGCAAGTTAAACATATGTCTCCCAAGTTGGACACATATTAGAGGCCCTACAAAACATAGTCACATAGCTCTTAATTAGATAGTGTATATGGAAGCAAGAATAAAATCTTCTTTACTCTTATCAACATCTTTCTTGTTCTTAGTCTTATTTCAAGAATCTTTAGTCTTCTTATCTTTAGTAGTAAGCATTCTAGTTTTAATATTATACCATCTTTGATTGATTATCTATTTTTTTTTTCTAGTGACATAAGAATGTATTTATTCTTTAGTTCTTTGTAATTTATGTCCTTAATATAAAGTAATTAAAATTTTATTAAATTATTAAAAATCACAAATTGTCACGGCCATAATCATGTAAGCTAATAATTACATATAGAAATAGGTAGAAGTAAGTAAAAGTAGATAAAAGTAAGTTAATTCTATAATATTTAATATAGAAGCTTCCTAGAAACTTCCTAGACGCTGCTTTGACTTCATAGGTGTCTTTAATTGACTTTTTGGATTAGAAACGTGGTCAACAAGTTGGCCATGTGCCACACATGTTGTTAGCTTGAAGATCAAGCTAACTATGTGGCCCACACGTAGAAAAACTTGCCTTGTAAGTCAAGGCATGTGTCCTACAAAGTCAACACATATTGGAGGTCTTATAGAACGTCGCCACGTAGCCCCTAGTTAGATAGTATATATAGAGACAAGAGTGAAGGCTTCTTCACTCTTGTCAACTCCTTTCTTGCTTCTAGTCCAGGTTCAAGAGTCTTTAGTTTCTTGTCTTGTGGCAATAGCCATTCCAGTTTCCTTTTAATATACCTACTTGTTTATATTTTGACTTATTATATCGAGATAGCCTTTTTGTGTATATTTTTCCTCATCGAGTCTTTGTCCTTGACAGATTGACAAGAGTACACTTACAATATCAGAGCTTTGTTTTTCTTGAGTAAGAGTGGATTACCCCTTTCTCTTGACAAGACATAAGCATATTAGAAGTTTGCGGATTACCCACTTCTAAACTGATATTGTTCTTAGTATCTTCTTTGTTATTAAGTCTTTCTTTTCTTTTGTCTTGAGCAGTATCAAACAAATTTTTCTTCTTAGTGTCATTATGGCAAAGCTTGTTGAAATGAAGAGTGCAATGGTACAAATGCAAGAGCAAATGAGGGAGTTAATGCTTGCGATGCATCAACTCAATTCACCAACACATGAAAGAACAAGAATAGCAGAAAGTGGGGATATAGAGATGATCGGAGCTGCTTCAACATCTACAACAAATCACGTTCCTTCTCCAATTGTACAACATCCTGTAAGCACTAGAGAACCAAGAATTGCCTTATCCGAGAGATTTGATGGTACGAGATCTAAGTTTCGAGGGTTCATCAATCAAGTACAATTTGCAATTGAACTTCAACCGCAAAGCTATCCACCTCCAGGATCACAAGTCAGGTTTATTGGCACTCTACTTTCTGGTTCTGCATTATCGTGGTTTTCGTCTTTTCTTGAACAACGAAATCCAATATTGGACAATTTCGAAGTTTTTTTGGTGGAGTTTCGATCTATGTATGGTGAACACGATGCAACTCGTGTTGCAACAAATAAGATCCGAATTCTGCAACAAAGAAATCGCTCAGTAATAGTGTATGCTTCATAATTTCGATAACTTGCAATTGACATCAAGTGGGATGATGCTGCACTCATCAGTCAATTTCTTTATGGATTGTAATACGAAGTAAAGAAATTGATGCTCAACTTACCTGATCCTCAAACTTTGAGTCAAGCAATCGATTTTGCGATAAAATGTGATAATCGACTTTTCGAATTTTGATCTGAGAATCATTCACGGAAACCTCAACGTTATTACTCAATGGCAACATCAACATCTTTGCCAAACGTACATTCGAAAGTAGAAGACATGCAAATTGACGCGGTACGTTTTAAACCCCTAACTAAGCAAGAAAAGATTCGTCGTCATCAAGAAGGATTATGTTTATATTGCGGAGAACCTAAGCACACTGCTCAACATTGTCCAAAGAAACGACGCAACTATAAAATGAGGGGTACGACGGTCAAAGAAAACAACATGTCGGAAAACGGATTCGTTCAGCTACAATAGGGACTATGCAGCTGAAACCTTGTACAATTCCTAATGAAGGTCCTATCCTCTCCTCAGAACCCTCTCCTTGTTTTATAATAGACTTATATTTAGGACCTAAGAATTACAAAGCCTCTGCTTTATTAGATTCGGGAGCCTCAGCATGTTTTTTAGATGAACAATTTGTTAAAAGTCGTAAAATATCCTTTGTACAAAAACCTAAACCAGTACATGTAGAAGTCATAGATGGTCGTCCCTTGTCTTTTGGAGATGTCACTCATGAAACTCATCCTATAAAAGTAACAATAGACGGTCATGATAGCTACATAGCTTTTAACATAATTAAATCCCCGTCCAATCCAGTTATTTTAGGTTTATCCTGGCTAGAAAAATACAACCCTCGAATAGATTGGAATTCGCATAAACTTGACTTTTTCTAGAGCGTTATTAATAGTTCTACCAACCAAGTAAAAAATTATAAGTCTAGTATAATAAAACCCGTACTGATAGGTGCAAAAGCATTTATACACGCAGCAAAAGAAGGATCAACTTTTGCTATTTATGCTGCACCTATTTCTGAAAACGTAAAGACTTCAAGTGGCATTCCAAGTCAATATCAGGAGTATCAAGACGTTTTTGAGAAAAAAAATGCAGATATTCTTCCTGAACATCGCCCATATGATTGTTCAATCGACCTCAAGGAAGGAACTCAGCCACCATTTGGACCAATTTACAGTTTATCGCAAGATGAGATGGCTGAACTCAAGACATATATTGACGAGAATTTAGCGAAGAATTTCATACGCCATTCAAAATCTCCAGCAGGAGCTCCAATTCTATTCATAAAGAAAAAAGATGGATCTTTACGAATGTGTGTTGATTATCGAGGACTCAACAAGATCACAATCAAGAACAGGTATCCATTACCTTTGATATCAAGACTCCTTGACCAGTTGAATCAAGCTAAGATCTATACAAAAATAGATCTAAGAGGAGCATATAATCTAGTACGGATCAAAGAAGGAGATGAATGGAAGAC